CCACCCCCTTCACTACCACAACTACTAACACCTTCACAGTTCACCACCACCCCCTCAGCCACTAACACCACCACCCCCTTCACTTCCACAGCCGACCCCTTCACTACCACTACCACGAGAAAAAATCTTGAAAAACTGAAAAAGAAATAAGTAAAAAAGAAAAATGAAAATTAACGGTCTCCCTACAGGGAAAGTTCACTGCTTACAAATTGGGTTTCCTGTGGTTTAGAGGTTTCCCATTACTGCGCAAGCGTATCACACGTGTCTTGAATCCAACATGGAGTATATCTCTTCCATGTTCGACGATGTCCGTCGAATGAACAAACGCCAGGTACACAAAAATACCACTTTTCTTAAATCAAACAACACAGAAAGGAAGCCTAATCTTTATTCTAACTATGTGTAATTTTATATCTCAATCGGCAGTTATTTTACCAGGTTTTAAACTTTGCCATTATTGTATCTTCGGCGTTAATGATATGGAAAGGCTTGATGGTAGTAACTGGTAGTGAGAGCCCAATTGTAGTTGTTCTAAGGTAAGATATTGATATTTTGTCTATCCAACATATATTAAGCTTCATTATGTTCTGAAATTTCTGATTTTGAGTTTTTCTGGGGGATTTTGTTCGTATAAAAACAGCTGTTTGAGAGCCTTGTGCATTGTGAACTCTCAGACTTCAGGGACAATAGACGAAGACTTTATGACCTTTGTAGGCTTAAATAAAATTAAACTTAGACAATATTGAGAGATCATATATTCCTAAGAGAGGGTGACAGTGAATAAATATTTTGTAAATCTCGATTTCTAATAGTTCTTTCAAGTTTTGTACATGTATGTTAACGATTTCATTTTGTTAAAAAAACTAATTCTGTTTGTGGTAGGGAGGGGAGATTTTGTTAACTATTGTGAATAATTGAAGCTGTTTTGTCTATCTAAATATAATGGAATAACATAGTTAATACGAATATATAATTTATATTTTGTATATATTTGGAATTTTTTTGAGGTAAGCTGGTAATGAATATCAAGCAATAAAGCAATTTTCCTTTTATGTGTTAGATTTTCATTGGTTGATATTTCTATTATTCTAGTGGTAGCATGGAACCTGCATTTCAGCGTGGTGATTTACTGTTCCTTACCAATTACAAGCAAGACCCCATTAGAGTTGGTGAAATAGTAGTATTTAAAGTAGAAGGCAGAGAAATACCTATAGTACATAGAGTGTTAAAAGTACATGAAAAGTAAGTCTATTGAATAAAATTTAGGCGGAATATTCTCATTCATAAAGTCTGAAATGTTATTTAAGGAATGCAACTGTCAAGTTTTGAGGGGTTTTGGATTTGAGCAAATTAATGATGGTAATTGAACTGAGTGGAGTGCAATTTGGTCTGAAATCAAATGCGCGATTACAAAATCGCACGACCACGTAGCAGGAGTGTGATTTGTAATTGCAAGTTTGATTTCAGACCAAAATTACACGACAGGAAGTTCAATTACCACTTAATAATATCCTTTTTGTAATCATACACGAGAAAAAGACACAATAAAGAGTGCAGAATAATCAATTTAATGTAGTAGAAGAACTAAATGCAAAAAAAAAAAATTATTTTTATTTTGTTTTATTTTATTGTTTTAAAAAAATTATTTTTCAGGATGCGATTAAATGCTCCTAAAGATGCAATTTGGGAATTAATTGCACTCCTTTGAACCAATAGGATTGCAGGATTTGGTGGTGATTACAAAAAGGATAAAATTAGAGCAGATCGACTAATTTGAATAACCCTAGCAATCTCAGAGACATCTAAATCTAGTTTTTATCTTCGCCTCTTTACTGTTAAAATATTATTTTATTAGTTTTTATCTAAACAGTATTATTTATTACTTCTCGTAGAGACAATGGTGACATTAAATTCCTGACCAAAGGAGATAACAACTCTGTTGATGATAGAGGTCTGTACGCACCTGGACAGATGTGGCTGGCCAAGAAAGATGTCGTAGGAAGAGCTAGAGGGTAAACAAATTTATTCATTTGTATGCTTTTTTGGAAGTGGTATTTGTACAGCATTGTATACAATAGCCAACTTTCGGGTTGAGACTCTGGCAAAACAATAATGTATTGCAATGCATCAACTCAGATATCTTTTGCAGTTAATGAAAAAACAAGTTTGGTAGGGATTGGTTTGGGGGGTATATTTCCAAAAAGAAAATTTTCAAAAAGAGTCAAAGGAGTTTTCAAAAAGCAAATCCCCCTTACTACAGGGCCTATTATATTAATGAAATATTCTATTTTTTATGATCACCTGTTGCATGCCCCCCCACCCCCCAGCTCAGCTTTTCAAGGCTTGCTATGGCCCTGTAATAGCTTGCTATCAATAGACGTCACTTCCGGTAATAGCTGAGTTTTTAATGGCTTGTAGAATCCTGGAGGTTGTTTTGATCTCTTGTTTTCTGGTTTGATATCGTGAAAATGGTCAAATACAACTTATTTTGACATGTTTTGACTTAGCATCCACTAGTTTCCCCTCAGTCAACCGCTTGTTTGCCCCCCCCCCCCCCCCCCATTCAACTCCAAAAAAGTCACGTGATTGATAGTAAGCAATAGGGACAATTCTTGTCAGAATTTTCTGGGAATTTTAGGAGCAAATTACCGTTAAATCATGGTAGAAGTGGCTGTGAATGATTGATGTAGAAAAGTTGCACCCTTTGAAAACTACCTAAAGGAAACACAATAGAAACCATGACCATGACATGAAGGAGGTTTTATATCTGATATAGATTCATCTTCATTTGCATAAACTTTAACTTGGACTTTCTCTATCAAACTTGGTTCATTTCATAAAGAATTCTGTACAATATGAGAACTTACATCATGAGTTTTTTAAGCCGTTCAATAAACTCACAGATCGTGTTTTATCGGGTCTAAGACCACTTGGCTATGCCTCGTGCTTTATACCCGATAAAACACTCCTGCTCGTTTATCAAACAGTACATAGAACACTGCAAGGGAATGTTTTAGATTTTGTTTATAGGGTTTTTTAATCTGGGGAAACCAATATGGGTCCTAAGACTCATTTAACTGCTTAAAAAGTCATTTCCCAAATTTTCTTAAAGGACGTTGAGTTTTAATGTTTTCGTACAGTTGTATGCTGTATTTTATCAAGTCAAACCTTGACTTGAAACCATTGTTTCCTGTCCATTAGAGGAAATTTTGAAAAGGTCAATTGCAATCACATGTATTGTGTTGGTATAATAACATGTTCTGTCAACTCACCTTTCGGATACCCCAATATCATGGACACCTTGCTATTGCGGACAGAAGAAAAATCCCCGACAAAAAATTCTGTCAAAGAAATGACCTTAATTAGTTTGTGTCCTTGTGGAGGTTCACTATTACGGACACCCCAAGTGATGGCCCCGCGGTTGTCCACTGTAAAAAGAGTTGACTGACAATAATAATTAAAACCACTGATAAATAGAGGTTATTGGTCGGCTAAGCATCTGATACATTACTACGTGTACTACTGTGTATTTTTATGAGTCACAGAGTATTTTGGCAAGCATTAAGGCAAGCCAAATTACAAATGATGAGTAAAAATGCAAAGCTCTATCAGATGTTTAGCCTACTGATAAGTTGTTTATCATTTAATTCTGCAAAGAAATGCTCAAACTCTCTCTAAACCCTATCATACCCGGCGTGAGCAGATGAGAAGTGCTGATATGGTCTCATATAGGGCATGATCTTTTCCCGTATCACGCACGTTCTTTGCAGAATTAAATGATAAACTATCATATTATTGGCCCTTAAAAACCAATTTCTTAATAATGATTAGTTGTGGGTGAGCTACTAATATTTATTTAAAGCGTATATCAAGGAAAATTTTTTCTTTCAAAATCACATATATGTGAATAGTGTAGTAGTATGGTTGCAGTATTTTTGTATGTAACATTATCTTTTAGGAGATATAAACATTTGAAATATTGATATGCAAATAAGATGACGTAAATTCAAGACTAATTTATTATACAAAAATGCTGTTGTGGAAAGTACTGCTGTTTTTTCATTTGCAAAAATCATCCTTATAACTGAAATATATGACCTTGAACACTTTTAGGTTATTTCACTTTAGAACATCTGTTACCGTATAAGTGAGTTTGAAAATGCATTTTTTTCCTTGATATACACTTTAAGAATGGAAGTGAGTCCTGGGAATGGAGTTTAAACTCAATATTGAAATACATGTAACTAATTTCTTTAGGTTTGTCCCATATGTTGGCATGGTAACTATTCTCATGAATGACTATCCAAAGTTTAAGGTAAGACGTGTTTGAGAACGGGCATCTGGGTTTATGGCTTCTGTCAATCAAAAATGTACCTGAACTGACATGAGGGGAAAACGTCTGCAAATGCTCTGAATCCGTATGCAAATAAGTCAAAGCATGTAATTTTCACTTTCAAACATGCATGATTAATTGGACTTCACAAAATGTCAAAACGTAGTGTCCATGCTTAAAACTTAAGGCTAATTCTTTCATATTGTGTTTGTTAATACAGTATCTTGGTCTGACAAAAGTATACTCTCGAACGTTTTTGTATAATTGGAGGAAACAAACATTTATTTTCTCACTCAAACTCTTCAAAATTCTTAGAAAGCGTGCTGAAATGCAAGCATGCGCAAACGTTTTTCTCTAATGTCACTTGAAACTTGTAATTTGATGAACAGTAAGCCAGAACAATATGACACTGACAATATGTTGCATTAGGAATTTTAAAAAAATGGTCTTAACATTTAAGTACTACTTTAAATTGCCGTGTCATTGAAGCAAATGTTATTTTGAAACCCTTTGGTTTTCAAAGTACAGTTGGATATACTCTCAACCACGCTGTTATTCTAATGCGTTATTTCTGTAAAACCCTACCCACAGCAGTAAAATACATATTCCAAAGAATGTTTGAAAGGGGTGCAAGGATGCGCCAAGTAGTATTATTACATGTATATACCAAGTGTCAAAGTTCAATTTTCCTCAATTTCTATTGGTTGAGAGTGTGTCACGTGAACATGAAGAAATTCGTCTGTTTCCTGGCGACCATTCTGGGAGGGGAATATTATGTTATGGACCGGGAATAACAAAACCGGAAGTCACGTGATTGAAAAAATATAAAAACCGGAAACCAAAAAGCAACACATTTGAGCGAGCGTTTGCAAAATTCATTCACACGTTTTCTTTCACGAAACATCATATTAAACATGGAGTCTTTCCGATTTTCTTGTTCTCTTTGACACTTATTAACACTTATTTACTGGGACCGAGGGAAACAGTATGTTTTGAGATCCCTCGACCGCTGATGTTTCCCTCGGCTCCACCTCGGGGAAACATCAGCAGTCTCGGGACCACAAAACATACTGTTTCCCTCAGTCCTGGTAAATAAGTGTTAATTATTTCACTAATCATTCTGTTTCTTTTCTTTAGTATGCAATATTAGCCGCGCTGGGATTATTCGTATTGATACATAGAGAATGACACGAGTCACCTCTTCTCGAAACCATGACATGGAAGAGTATGCAACAGCTTGTGCAAAGATCAAGAAGTTATAACAACATGCCAGCTGGCTCCTACATGTACAAGTGTATGAAGGAATCAGAAAGAAATTAGGTGATTTTTTGAAAGTTTCATTTTCAATAGAACACAGCTTGAAGAAAAACTGTAGAATTAGATTAATTGGTTTCTTTTTGTTCCTTTTCATTGAAATGTATATCAACGAAATTTCTTTCTTTCAATCACTTATATGTGAATAGTGTAGTAGTATGGCTGCAGTATTTTTGTATGTAACATTTTCTTTTCGGAGATATAAACATTTGAAATATCAATATGCAAATGAGATGACGTAAATTCAAGACTAATTTATTATACAAAAATGCTGTTGTGGAAAGTACTGCTGTTTTTTCATTTGCAAATCATCTTTATAACTGAAATATATGGTTTTGTACACTTTTGGGTTATTTCACTTCAGAACACTTGTCGTAAATTACACTGCAAAATGTAACCCATTCTTGAATTTACGTCATCTCATATGCATATTGATATTTCAAATGTTTATATCTGAAAATAGAAGACCACATACAAAAATACTGCAACGATACTATTACACTGTTCACGTATAAGTGATTTTGAAAATATTTTTTTCCTTGATATACACTTTAAATATCAAAAAAAGTTATCATGTTTTTGAAATGTCTTCCTTATGTTGATATCAAACTAGTTATGATACATGCTTAATCCTGATTTCCACTTTATACTGTCTCATTAGAGTGAAGTGAAGTCACTAAACCCATGCAATAGATATTAGACTAATACACACTATCCTAGTAGACCCTAATTCCATGGCTTTCTCTTGTCTCTATTTGACTATTACTTGTTGTCTAGTATTTTTTATTTCACTGGTTAAATGCCTTCAATCTATAAGGATCCTTCAAAATACTAAACTTACCCTGACGAACATCAACTAGACTGTGAGCTAAGTCCCTCTATTTCCCTTGGTCACTGTCCATCTGTCTGTCCGTGTCGATTGGCCAAGGAAGATTGGTTACGGGTCAAAAGTCCCTGGGGGAGGGGGCTGGGGAGGGAGGGACTTAGCTTGCAGTCTAAACATTAACATTGCATGAGGTTTACTAGTTGTTTGTATCAATATCTCAGTATTAAGGAAATTATATTATAACAAAACAAACATTGACAATAATTTTCAGTCTATACTTGCAGATCTGGGCCCAGTTGTATGAAGAGTGGATAGCACTATCCAAACGATAAATCTTATCCAGTGGATAAATCTATAGGATAACGGTATTGACTCGTCCACTGGATAAGGATTTATCTGTCACATAGTGCTATCCACCCTTCGTACAACTGGGCCCAGCCCCATACTACAGTACATTACCTTACATAACAGTGCATGTCATTAAATTATTTTAAGAGATGTATGTTTAAAACAACCCATATATTTAAAACTGATGTATTGTCCAAAAAAATAATAAAAACATTCTATCTTCAAATTTGACATCCTGAATGTTTCTAGTGTTAATATACTATGTAGCAACATAAAGGTGCTCTTTCTAGCGATGGTATGTAATATTTCAACGCCGACAATGAGGACTGGACAGGATTTCAAGTCTAAGCAATTAGTTCCATTCCGAGGTGCAGCCAACTTGAAATCCCGTCCAGTCCTCATTGTCGGCTTTGAAATGACTTCTCATCTCATTAATTATTCGACTTGGAGTAACTGGAACAAAATTAATTCAGTCCTAGGACTGAATTAATATTGTTTTAGTTACTCCAGAATGAATGCATTCCTTTCACAGCACTTTACCAGGTTTCAAGTAACATCATGTGACCCAAAAATAGCCCATTGATTGGCTGGTTTACTCATGAATTATTAATGAGTATGAGAAAGGTTTTTCACAATTTTAACTCATTTGAATTAGGGCTTCCATTTTGGAGAAAAATCTATTGGCTTGGTTCATCGGACCTTTCTCTTGAGAATAAGATTCTTTGTTAAGTGGTGTCTTCTTGTGAGCAACCATTAAATAAGAAATGGTATCCTGAGAATGACCTATGGTTTGAAATAGGAAAATATTAGGCCCAAGGTAAAAAGGTATATTGGTGTCTCCCTAGTACCAGCCTATAGTACCAGCCTATAGCACCAGCATATAGTACCAGCCTATAGTACCAGCCTATAGCACCAGCCTATAG